TCAAGACATAATCGCCCCTTCCTTCCACCACCAAATCACTCCACTCCTTCACCACAAATGAATAAAAATCTTTATGCGAGAACCATTAATTATTAAATCTAAATAGTTTAGGTCCCCAATCTCTCTTGTCTTTCAAAACCCAAACGGGACAATGGTCGGAAATGTGATGGTCGCCATTGAATTGACCAATAATGCCCCATGAGTTCACCACCCTTTCCGAAATAAGAAAACAATTGATTCTACTCATAGTCGTCCCATCACCGCTATACCAACTAAACTTCTTCCCTTTTCTAGGAACATCGACCAATTTGGAAGAGGCGATAAAACTAGCAAATTCCTTCATTTCGGTACCCCTATTCTCCACTCCCCTTCCTTTCCGCTCCCTCCTATTAGTCACCGAATTAAATTCTCCACCTAAAATCCATTCACCATCATTATATTTATCTTTAAGCAAAAGTAAATCCTTCCATAACTTCCTTTTACTTTCCAAACCACATGAAGAGTAAATGTTAACCAAATACAAGGATTCGTTGTTCCAAACAACTTTTATCCCCAAATAACCTTCACCTTTAAAACTCAAAATAAACTCCATCACTCCCTCTTTCCATAGAATAAGAAAACCTCCCGACATCCCTATCGAGCTAGAGAAAGAGAAATCAATATCTTGATTTTACCAAATACTTTTAATAACCCCTTCCTTCAAAACCGAAAATTTCGTCTCTTGAAAAAAGAATACGCTTGCCTTCTTAATATAGAGAAAATGACTAATTCTCCTCCTTTTAAGAGAGATCCCCCCACCTCTAATGTTCATCGAACCAATAATCATCACAAAATCTTTTTGACTCCTTTCTCCTTCATCACATTCTTGCTAACAATAACTTCAAGTTCATCTAATTTTCTACCCAAATCTTCTTTACCACTCCCCTCCGATACACCCAATAAACTAATGATCTTGAGAATCCTGTCCTCATTAACCCCACAAATGAGATTCCTAAGACAAGAGTTGTTTCTAGCAATGATCAAGTATTCAGATTGTTCTCCATAGATTAGAGATTTAGACGACGTGCAATTGACTCCATTTGAAAAACTCCCCTCCACATACGAGGTTCCGCCTAAAGAAATCCTCCCCTTTGAGACACCCACCCTCGTCAACTTCTTGACATTAGTCGACCACGGTCTATTGGGTCTTTTGACAAAAAATGGCCAACATCCGCCACTTTCTTAAATCTGATTTTCTTGCTTTTAGTCCCCTGATGTCACACAAACTTCTTAGCCAGCGCAACCTCCAGATATTTAGAGAAAGAAGAAAAATAAACAGAACACTCAACTCTTGAAATACTATCACAAGATCTATGAACATGACCACCAGAATTAGCAACAGCAACAAACTTTAACTTGTCTAAGCATAAAGAATTGTGAGAAACAACGCCTAAAATAGGTTGGGCCAAACCTGAAGCTGGGAGCGCTCTAGCCGATTGCAGAGCCCTGTCAAAACTACCTTTGGAAACTAAGACCAAGTCTTCGACTTCAACCGCTTCTCTGCCATAAAAATCGATCCTTCTACCAGAACTAACTCATATCTTCAAACCGTCCAAAGAATTCACGCAACAAGAATCCTTCAAAGCTCGACTAGAATGATCCACAGCAACAAGACTGGAACGACACATACACTGCTCTTCTTTCGATACAACTGGTGACTGAGTTAGTTTATGAAAAGACAATTTCTCTTTGCTGCTAAAAGGGGACTGCTTCTCATCTGACCTGACGAAATCTCCACCATATCTAAAGTCTCCGTCCACCATACCTACTTCATCCTCCTTGTTGAAACCTAACCCTCCAGCTTCACCGAAGATTTCGCCCCACTCAACAAACTCCTCAATAGACTTTGTGCCTGTTGAAGAAGAAGCTACCGACTTGCTAATGTTTTGACACTGAGAAAAATCCTGCCCTTCACAGAAACGATGACGAAGATAACCTAAAAAACCCTCTCTCAAAATAATCGGAAATTTCTGCCCATACACCACCACCTCAATAGAATTGGGAATTGAACAATCCAAAGGGATGCAACATTGAATTCTGGCCACCTCTAAATTGCAACTTTCAGCTGTGGGTCGATCAATAGAGATGAGCATTCCGAACATGTTAGCCAAAGAAACAAAAAACTTTGGTTCCCAAGCCATGAAAGGGATGCCATAGCATCGAATCCAGACAACGCGAGCTTCGTCAACATCTGAAAAATTCCATCTCCAGATAGTACTGAGAAATTGCCTCCACCATCCAACTTCTTCTTTGATGAGATTGTCGATAGACCCTTCCACTGTTTCCTCCAGGAGACACCACTTTGGACCTAACGATGTTGACTTGATCGAACAATGACCCTCCATTTCCAATTGAGACTGAAACGAGAAAGTAGTACCAACTTTGAGAACCTGTGCAACATATGTCTTCTCCATTCTTCTCACTTTGTCCTCATCTGGAACAAATTGCAATCTGGGAACTAAGGAGCTTGCAACATTGTTTACATTTAACACAGCTTCCTTAAACGATTTCCTTCCGCCTCCCATTCCTCCATCTAACAAATCCCTAAGCTTAACCTTTTGATTGACTCCCACATCTACACATAACCGCACCTTAACATCGTACCCTGACTTTGATTTTGTCATCACCTCCTTCGCAGATGTACTGAATCGAGGAAGATTTGCAAAAATCTTAACCCCATCAATAATAATGTTGTCTAGTTTTGTGGCTAGGAGCTCCTCATCTCCCTCTACCTCAAAACGAGCAAATATGAATCTCTTGCCATATTTGTTCAGTCTTGGAGCTATGATAACCTCCTTAACCACCTCATCTACACATCCAAATAGCTCATATATATATATATATATATATATATATATATATATATATATATATATATATATATATATATATATATAACATGCTAGTATACTTCACATTTATAAATTATTAGACTGTATTTTTTCATTTCATTGATCATTGAGATATATGCAGGGAATCAAAACATAAATCGAATAGAAAATATTGTGAAGCTGATGGCTTAGTTGTGAATGGAGTGTCCAATACAGGGGTTATGTTCGGGAGCAGTAGGCCTAAAATTGTTGACATCATGAGTCGTTGGAGAAGGGGGTGATGGTTCTTCGGTTGCATTTGAAGTTGAAATGCCAAGATGAATAATATCATCATTATTAGCCTCATTATGTTTCATGGCAGTATCAGCATTTCCTATTTATCATATATGTTATATCACAAATCCTCTTCGACGCCATTTTCGGCTTCTGGTCCCGGTGTTGATTACTTCAAGTTTGATTTGATTCAAAGGTTTATTTTGGTGATGGTTACTGGTGATCAAACTGAATATTTCCCTCTGCCAATCCCAGCTAAGTTTATATATTCACCAGCTTTTGTGTAAGTTGAATGAGTAATAGTTATTCAAATTTCAAATTTATTCTATAAGGCAAATTTTCAGACATATGATTGAAAGGAAAATAAAGTATTTTAACACTGGAGAGAATGAGGGATGGAGGTAGCTAGAGCATGGAAAGTTACTTTTGGGTGGAAATCGTGTAAACAACGGAAAACAGACTGTGGATAAGAAGCTATACTGCTTTGCAGTCATGATCATGTTTGCAATGCCTTGGCCTATAATACAACATCCAAATCCAACGGCTCCATACATTATACCCTTCAAATAGAAAGGTCAATCAAAATCAGTGATGTCGGCTGCAGATAGTGGAAAATGGTGGATTGTAAAATTCGCTTTATAGATAGTTATAGATAGTGGATTTTTTTGCTTTTAAAACAAATAAATAATTATAGATGTTAGTTCCTTCCATCACCATTCCTTGATCGTGGTAGAAATGCTGCTAGGACGTGGTAAGTTGTGATTCTCCACAGAGGAAACAGCTACGCGATTGATAATATTCTGGTTGCCTTGATGATATCAGAATCATAGACTGGGACGAAGTTCGCTATAAGGAGAGGGAGAGTGTTCACCAGAGATCTTTGTTTCCTCATGAAATTCATGTAATTTGGTTGACCATTCGGTGCATCGTGAATTTTGCTACTATAAAATAGTAATTTGGAAATAAGCTTATACATGCAAGATATCACTGCAAATATTGTCCATCCTCTTGTGGCGCCACCTCATTGACCTTGTTTGTAGTCTGCAATAATGAATAAACAAACGATCCGTTTATTCAATTAAAATGCAAGAAAGATTTTTTTGGGTAAAATTATTATCATTGGCATAATACTCTCATGGTCTTCCGGTTTATTAAATATGTAAACATGATGATGAAGTTGAGTTTCTAATTCTCAGAGTAAGTTAGTAGCACTCATTGCACATATTTGTAAGCACAGATTGTATTGGTTCGTAGTCTTCTATCAGGATTGTGATGTTAACTTCATATGAGGTGTCACGGGCTACCTCACCTGGAAAAAATTTAAAAGACATAAAAATTCAACAGACAACTTTGCATGACGTTGACGCTTCTTAAAAAGAGGAAGAAGAGAAGAGTTTGATGTGAACCAAACCAGAAATAGGACCAGCCTCCATCAAAAGCGTGTGGCCGCAGCAAGCGAGAGACGAAGTTGTTCCGTGAGAAATCGTGAAAATCGACGCTGCTCAGATCTCCGTTCAGTTTCTAGAGTTATAGTTTTCTGATTTTCAAAATGAACAACTCAAATCCAATATTAAAATTTCATAAAAGTCAAAACAATTTACTGAAGTGTTCAATTATCTTTCACAAATTGCAATGGAACATTCTTTCTATCACTCAGAACAAAAATAAATTCTAAACAAAATGAAAACTTGTACCATTTTGTTGATATAATCAATTTTTTTATAATGTGCATTTTCACAGTTAGAAAACAAATGAAATATTTAACAACTCTTACCTTCTCATCAACAAAAGTGTCAATACTCCAATCACTATAACATCCATCTTTCGAACCTAAACATTTTATAAAATTCAATCGGTTTAAGAACCAACAACAAATTCTGTTGGAAATTTGGTGTGATAATCCTGGATAACTTCGAGGAATCGTGTTCGTACACTTTCCGAACAAAGTATTTCGACCATATTCTTGCCTGGGTTCACGAAATCTTCGCGGGGATAATTCTCGAAGATCAATCTATTACTGGCAAAAGAATACGGATTACAAATGTAGAGAGAAAGAGACGTTTTTTGTGTTACGAAACCGAGACCAAATGACTCCTTATATAGGAGATCAACAACTGAAACTGAAAAGACACACCGGTTCGAAACGGTTATGTCTGTTGGGGAAAACGGATTCAAATTTTTCGCTCGGGGCCCAGCCAGGGGCTCCGCCCCTTGGACCCCAGCGGGGCGCTGCCCCGCACCCCCGCCAGGGGCTTCGCCCCTTGGAACCCCATTTCAATTATTCATATTCAATTATGCATTGGCTCGACGAGCGTGCACTCCGCACTTCCCTAACTCGTCTCCGAACTTAACGCATAAGTACATCGGCCTTTAGGAAATCATATTACTACTAAAATACATTGGTGATACTAAAATCACCAACAAATTCACTAACCAATTCAATGAATTCCGTCTATTTTCTATTCCTTTAATCAATATCCTCAAATCACAAATCCTAAAAGATCTAAATAACAAAACAATTTGCACTTACCGCCCCAAGTATCAAAACTCCAATCAATTTCTGCAATCCTAGGTTCCGCATCACCAAATTTCGACGTTCATCAACAAAAATCATAATCTATAACGAATATTTAGAATACCAAACACAACCAAAAATCGATCCATGAAACTCACTCAAACTCAATCAATTCAAATATTTCGAGATCTGAAATCAGAGAGAGAAACAGGAATGAGGGAGCCGTTGTCGGTGGGAACTGAAAGAAACGACGTCCCTTCTTCGCCGCCGCCCCAAGCACTCCTTGATAAACTTAAATATTACTGCCAGGAGACGTTTTAGCTCTCTGGAAAGTGTTTCGTTGATTTGATTGTTACAAGGATTGTTCAAGGTAGAACAACATGAGAAAGGAAAAAAGAAAATAGGAAATAGACGTGAGAAACAAAGAAGAGATTGACTTTGCCTTACATCATGGTTTATAAAATATGGTTAATACCCAATTTTTCTCTGTAATATAAACGATATCTCAACAAAAAAAAACTAGTCATAAAAAATTTAGATTTTTTTTTTTTTAGATTCTTTCATTTTAGTCTCTATTTACCTCCAATCACTATATAAATAAAAATAATCACTACAAATACATATAATATTTTTTTAATATAAATTCAATTTGAATTGAATAGAAAGTAGAAAATTATAATAGTGGAACGGAAAGATCCACTCATCAAATTAGTAAATGAAAGAAAAATAAAGTAAAAGACGAAAACAAATCAAAACTCATAAGATAAATTAAATTAAAAGACTATAAAATCTTGGAGGTCATGTTGTGTATATTTTTCAATTTGTTTCTGTGTAAATTAAATTAGAAGACTATAAAATCTTGGAGGTCATGTTGTTGTATATATATGTTAATCCATACCATGTTAAGAAGCCTCAAAGCAGCAGTCCTAGTAAACTTTCTTGCGAAAAGGAAGCAAGTTGATGGTTTGCCCTTGCTTGTACACCATTCTCTTCTGTATTCAGTTTTATAGTAAATATTATTTATTTCCTGCAAACAAAGCAATAAAAAACCGACAATCATATTGAAGAATCTGCAGCATTTCAATATGAGTTGTCCTAGTATGGTTCAACAACAATATTGTCGGCCACAAATAGAAGAAAATAGTGGTTTGTTCAAATTCTTCTACAGTATAGTGCTACTAAACACAGTCGCAAAATAATAATGACTTGTTCAAATTTCACTACGCTAATTTCTCTTTATAAAGTATTGTTCAAACCTTTATAAATTTTATAAGCATCGGAGTAGCGTCAATTTGTAAGTCATTAGATGCCATCCTTGGCGCTCACAATCTCTTGAGTTGGAAATATCCTATGCAGTATGTGTCACCGACCTTCGTGTGAGCTCCTTTTCAAGGTCTTTTTGGTGGATTTGGTAGGAAAAACACAACAAAAGATGGTGCATCATAAAGTTTATAATAGATGTGACAAACTTACTTCGATTTCTTTAACCGTCGTTTGTAGAAAGCTAAAGAAAAGATCATTACAACCATCAATGTTTGAACATAGTGATCATCAGGTATACAACTATACACCTTAGACGTGTCAGCACACTGCGTGAAGAAAGTAAACTTATTGAAGTTAACGTCGTAAAATAAAGACATCCTTAGATATTTTTTTTATATATAGTACTTATAGTGAATTGATCCCTCCAAAATCCGGGTTGCGCGAAGAAAGTAAACTTATTGAAGTTAACGTCGTAAAATGAAGACATCCTTAGATAAATTTGTTTGTATACAGTACTTACAATGATCTCACATGAATAAAATATAAACAAATATTTAGAATAATCTCACATGAATAAACAAATATACACATGAATGTTTAGAACAATCTAACTTATGTATCAATCATCTTCTTCATATCTGGGTATTTTGTCCAATCATTGTCTAAAGAATCCAGATAATGTAAAATTTCTCTTACATGATTACTCACAAATAACCAGTGTCCACTGTAAGATTAAATAAATGTTAGATGGAAACTTTCTACACAACGTCAAAAACCAAAAAAAAATATAATAGATGAATTTAGAATGAAAATCTAACTCGTTGCTAGTATTATATGGTAAAAAGAACAATTTTTCTTTATCTTTGCTGGCCATAAATAAACGGAGTACATACTGTAACACCCTTCTAGTCCCGCGGAATAATTAAATAAATACTCAGAGTAAAACATGAATACATAAGGATGTCACAACACCTCATTAAAATACACCTGTCATGTCATGCTAACTGAAGGGAAACTTAAAAACATATAATCATAATATATATCATGTTTTAAAAGCACAACGATAATTCATTTCTTAACATCGGGAATTCAATAAAATCCAAGTATATCTAAGGTCTCAACCTTACGACATAATTCAACTATAATTATAAGCTAGAGTTATACAACTCGAACACAAATACGTTCCCCCAGTGTTACACTACCAGAGCATGACCGACTCGAAATAAAAGAGATAGCCCTAACTTGCTATCCTTACCGCATCTAAGTAGCTACTTCTCAATCTGAAATATTAACCACAGTAAGGGTGAGAAAACATCATCAATTATCAAATATTATAAGCTCATACATAATCAGAATAGCATAAATAATCTAAGCACCCTATCAACATATTGTCAGATTAGTAACCACTCAATCATAACACATTCAAGCAATAACATATTCATTCCAAAACATAATGACATATGACCCTATGCAACACCATTATAACATTGAGAAACTCCCATTCATGTTATAATGCAACAACAACATCATAATGCAAAAAGACCAACTGACTTTACGCATGTGGTACCATAATTCCAGAACCTCATAGTTCTGCTCCACCGATTCATCCCTATGAACACGACATACATCTTTACCAATTCATCCCTATGAACCTGGCAATAACACTGATCCATCCCTATGGACACAGCCTCCTTTGTAATCCACTAATTCCACACGATTGGAATTAGCCACAACGACTCACAATGCAATGTATGACACTAACAAACTCATGCATTCTCATATAATAATAATCATAACATTATCATATTCATCACAAACATAACATCATAATTCTCTAATTATAGCTTCACAAGTTCAATATTCACAACATCAGTTATACACCATCTCTCATAGTGATATAACCATAACACACAGCAATAACACAATCATAAGATACAATTATATCACTCATGTATTCATTATCAACCATAATTCAAATACATGAACACAAGTATACTCAATCATGAATTCACAAACAACAATTCATTATCATTTCATACCCAGAAATCCATATTGTACAGAACTAATCACATACTATCTCTTATAGTAATATGACCATTAATTCACAAGAATCACACAAGTAAAACAGGAAAATACGATCACAACATAAATCTAGAACAATATTACTCTCATTGTCGACCACAATTCAGTGTAACACGTTTACATTTCGATTTACGTTTAATCAATGATTTTACGACCTTTTGAGATAAAAATAGTTTTCAAATATCAAAAGTCCTTATTTTAGAAAATTCACATTTTTCTGAAAACGTGGCCACAAACGGCACTCAATTCTGAGCTACGGTTCAAAAATTAGAAACATTTGAAGTTTTAGAAAATTTTTGAAAAATATTCAGCGCATCCAAAACAGCAACATGGCAAAATTCTCCCCTCTTCGCCCGGCGACCCATCCCTTCGCTCAGCGAAGATGAAACAGAAATATGGCAAAATTCAGGCTTCTTCGCCCGGCGATGAGCACGAAAACTGGGTTTTCTGCTGCATTTCCAGCACAGCCCCAACCCCTAATTCTTACGATTTTGACATCCAAATCACAAAATAATCATATTTTTATGTTCCAAACTCTATTCAATCATGAACAACAACAATTATATTGGCACACATAAAAATAATTAGGATTCATTCATCCAATTCCTTCCCTAATCTTCCAAACACGTCAATATGGGGATTTAGGAAACTTATCCTACCCTTAACCATATACAATCCCATTATCAGAAATAAAAGAGAGATTCCCCCCCCCCCCCCCTACCTTGATAATTTCTGGCAACTTCGATAAATTCTGGGACCTTGACCTCTTCTCCTCTTTCTGCTCTTCTTTTCCTTTTTACGTTCTTTCTCTTTTTCCAACTTTAGGTTAATGATTCTCTTAATTCCAAATAACCTATTTTATTTAAAATAAAATAGTAACCAACTTAATAATTACTTTGGAGGTTGCTGTACTGATTGGCGCACATACAGTGGATGCGGTTGATATTGCAATATTTTCGGAGGATGTTGGAGTGGATATTGTGGATACAGAGTAGTAGGCACCAGATAGCTGGAATATGGTGCATAAGGCAAGCCAATTGGTGCCATTGTGGGAACCACAGGTCGTGGGTAGTACAAAGGAGCTTGCACTGGCACAGGCTGAGCAAGTGCTCGCATTGGAGCTTGTCGATCATCCCTTCTCTTACCTTTTAGCCTTCTATTAAAGTAAGAGGCTACATTGTTCTCACTTTCTCTCTTTCTCTGAAAACATCCAGACCTAATGGTCTCACTGGTTGAAACAAGTTTGTGGACTGTCAGATTAGTTCTTGCTCCCTCTTCCAATTGTTTTCCTTGTCGTGTCTCATTCCTTCTTGAGGACATCTCCCCGCGAGAGTAATTTGGATGCGATCCCAAGTAGTCGGTACCACTCAAAGGCATGGTGTCATGCATAAACTTCTTCTGA